TACAATACATCTCACCAACAATTTTAATACTACTCAAAACCATGCTTACTTGACTTTCCACGATCGCATCACCGCATGTTTGCTGGATAACCAAAGAAAGTAAAATTTCATGAAATTTTGCATCCTATAACTTCTCATGTTTTAGATTAAGAACATCTTGGCTTACCAATTGAATTTAAAATAATATAAGCTCTAGTACTACAAAGATACAATAGAATTCAATACATAGACGACTAGCATATGGAATAGATAGGGGCATAAGGAATTTCATATAAGTGTATTCCTCATCTAAAAGAATAAATAAATAAATAAGCACCCACATGCATAAGAGTAAAAATATAAAACCAAATATAAACATCATATTTATGGAGATGTAACCCTCAAAATACAAACAAAACAAACCTGCGCACTTATCAAAATTACATAACAAGTTCAAGATAGCTCAAAAAACATTAGCCCAAAATAATATATACGACCAATAAGAACATCTTATCGCCAAAGAATTCTTTGCAAAAAATTTAAAACAAATGCCATTTCATGCATATATTATTGTACCTTTTTTAAAACATAAATAATAATAACATATCTAAGATGGTACCCTTTAGTGTATTATAGGACCTAAACTATATTGAATACAAATATGATACCCTCATAAAATTCTTTGGGCCCAATGTCCTCATTACGGGTGCAAACGAGTCGAGTCGAGCTCGAGTCAGGCCAAACTCGAGCTTCTCGCAAGCCAAATTTTGAGCTCAAAATCGAGCTCGAACTCAAGTCGAGCTCAAGCTTGGCTCGTACCAGTGAAAAGAGCTTGTTGAGCAACTCAAATCGGCGGTTTGAGCTCCGATTTAGCATCCACGGCCCGCCCCTGCCTTCCATGATTCAGCTTCATCCTTCCACATCCAAGCCTGTCTTCCACGTCTGAGCCCGCATTCTGATTCCTCTTTTCACGTCCAAACCCAAATCCGAGCCCACCCCGATTTTTTCTTCCATGTTCGAGCCCACCTTGCAATTATGCCTTCTGCTCCACAATTTTGTTGTTCCCATTCCACACTCAAGTCACTCGATGAGTAATCAAGATGATCGAACTCGAGCTCGAAATTATGCTTGGGCTCGAAACTCAATAAGCTTGAATCGCAAGCTCGTTAATGAGTCGAGCTCGGCTTGACTCGGTTGCATGCTTAGTCCTCACCGACCATCCAGACAAACTTTTATAATTGCAAAATAAGTTGTGTTCCATTCAAAAGCAATAAACACAAAATTGGGCATTCTACCTTTGAAACTAAGAAGCATGGTTTCTCTAATAAAGGAACCTTAGATCTACCATAAGAAACACATTTCATAGACTTTTCCCAACAAAATAAACGGCAAAAAAAAAATAGTTATCAAGTTGTCATAAATATATTTTAACTTTCTTCAACATTTGATGAGCATCAAAAGGGAGATGATATCTACAACACAAAAAATAGATCATTTTGATACAAAGAGCAGGAAAAAATATCATAGAGTACATAATATAATAATTTTCCATACAATTCCCACATAAAATTTACTAATTGCAAACAAAGTTATGTATTCAATTAAGAAGCAATAAGGAGAAAATTGTATGGTGCACTTCTGCAACTAGAAATATTTGTTTTTCTAAAGAAGCCAAGGAACATTAAGTCTAAGATAAAAAAATGATTTTGTCAACCTTTCCCAACAAAATGTATGAAACATAGAAAACCTTGCCATTAAGTTGTAAGAAGTATATATCAAAATGTATGACAACATATAACACAAAACAACTAGGTCATTTGGATAACAAATGCAGAATATCGAGGAACACAACATATAAAAATTCACCTTATAATATGGTGGAATACATAAGGATGTGGTTTATCAAGCTGATGTGCAAGCTGTACATGCATATGAATTATAACAAATATTATGCCATTGCTCAAATATGCTGAATAAATGGACAGCTTACAATACATCTCTCTCTCTCTCTCTCTCTCTCTCTCTCATATATATATATATATATATATATTCTTCATAAATACTTCATCAAGCAACTATGAAGTAAGGACAAAATAAGGGATGGTAATACAAAGATGCAATATAATTCAATACATAGATAACTAGCATATGGAACTGATAGGGGCCTAAGCCTCATCTACAGAAAAAAGAAAAATAAATAATCGCCCGCAAGCATAAGAGTAAAAATATAAATCCAAATGCAAACATCATTTTATGCAGATTTAACCCTTAAAATACAAGCAAAACAAATCTGTGAACTTATATAAATTACACAACAAGTGAAAGATAGCTCAGAAAACATTAGCACAAAATAATATATACAAATAGACCAATAAGTTCATTTATGCGCCAAAGAATTCTTTGCAAAAGATTCAAACAAATGCCATTTCATGCATATAAATACTGTATTTTTTTTAAACATAAATAATAATAAGGTATCTAAGATGGTACCCTTTAGTGTTTTATAGGAACCTAATCTATATTGGATGCAAATATGATACCCTCATAAAATTCTTTGGGCCCAATGTCCTCACCCCCCATCCAGACAAACTTTTCTAATTGCAAAATATGTTGCGTGTTCCATTCAAAAGCAATAAACAAAAAATTGGACATTCTACCTTTGAATCTGAGAAACATGTGTTTGCTTAATAAAGGAACCTTAAATCTAAAATAAAAACATATTTCATAAACTTTTCCCAACAAAATAAACGGCAACAAAAAAAATAGTTCTCACATTGTCAGAAATATATTTTAATTTTCATCAACATTTGATGAGCGTCAAAAGGGATATGATATCTATAACACAAAAAATAGATCATTTTGTGCAAAGAGCAGGAAAAAAATCAAAGAGAACATAATATAACAATTTTCCATACAATTCCATCACAAACTTTACTAATTGCAAACAAAGTTATGTATTCAATTAAGAAGCAATAAGGAGAAAATTGGATGGTGCGCCTCTGCAACTGGGAAACATTTGTTTTTCTAAAGAAGTCAAGGAACATTAGGTCTAAAATAAATAACTGATTTTGTCAACCTTTCCCAACAAAATGTATGACAACATAGAAAACCTTACTGATGAGTTGTAAGAAATATATATCTATTTTCTTAAACAAAATGTATGACGACATATAACACAAAACAATTAGGTCATTTAGATAACAAGTGCAGAAAACAGAAACGATGTCGAGGAACACATCATATAACAATTCTCCTTATAAAATGGTGGAATACATAAGGATGTAGTTTATCATGCTGATGTGAAAGGTGAACATGCATATGAATTGATAATTCTTTAAGGAGATAAAAGCTTTCCAAGGTTCAAGAAAAATTTGAATTCTCTTATCATTAGACCATGTCTTGGTCCTAAACATACCAAGAATAGCATATGTAAATAAAAAAGGAAGCGATAAAGGACCTACATTCTAGATAACATGTAAACTCATAGTGATGTGACACAATGTGACAAATTAAATTGTGGCATAAGATGCCAATCCAATAAAAAGTGGACCATAAACTAGAATCCAGAGCAAGAAGGAAGTTGAGAGGATTCAAGGACTCCTGACAATGAGCAAGATGAAGGCTCTTAAGTTAAATTTCTATTTTAATTGTGTGCTAATTTCTGTGAACAAATAAATATTTGTGATTTTGAATTTGTGGTTGCAATTATAATTCAAAAAATGTGAATTTCCAAATTTTGAAATTTGAACTATGAAAATTCAAAATTTAAAAATTCACAACTTCGAGTTTTTTTAATTTTGACGATATGTTTTTTTAATGTTCAAATGTTTATTTGAATAGAATAATTCATATAAGCATGGGCCCAAGCAATATTGGTCGACCAAAACAAAAAGGATGGGGTAGTTATTTTGGTAGTTACCTCACTCTCTTTCTCTCTACTACTCACTAGTGTGGTTTGCCCCCTCCTTTTCCATTTCTTTATGCAATTCAAATTAATTATTGTAAACATATTTATACTTGCTAAAATGAAGAATCAAAGGATAGTCGTTCTATTGAAAAAGTTGAATTTTCTTCCAAAGAAAGAGAAGGTTTGGTACCCGACCTCACCATTCAAGGAGTTTGATGATTCCTTCAAATATTGCCACTTTGATGAGTGATAATTACTCATATCTTATTAAGCCCTATCTATAGCTTGTTGTTGAACTCTTCTATATTAATCCCCTCACACTCTCATACCAACTACACATCCACTTCCCCACAAAAAAATCCACTCAAAAACTTATAAGGGCTCTCAGCCAATGCTAGGCTAAATCTAAACTAATTTGATTATACACCTCATTTGAGCCATCCAAACCCCTTGAAAATTTGTGAAGCATTCCAGAATTAAAGTAGACAAACTCCTCTTCCATTTCCAAGTGTTTCCAAGGCTTGGAGTTTCCATATTTTAAACCCCAAAATCCTAAATCTCTAGTTGGGAAATTCAGCAAGATTCCCTTCACCACTACTTATCCTACTTCCTTTGCATAGGAATTTAACACCACTGCTCTTAAACCATTCCAAAGGCTTCTACACCATCCCTAAAATATTTTTAAAAACTTCCAATCCCAAATCTATCACCACTCAATGGCCTAGCACTAAGCCACACCACATAGATTATGAAAACAACTGCTATCCTAACATAGAGTACAATTGCGAACTATTAACTATTTCTCTTTGCATTAAAATTTTACCATTAAATCAAACAACAATAAAACCAGTGAGATGAACAGAGAATACAGGATGGCAAGATTATCCAAACCAGTCAGACATACATCCCTCTTCCAGAATTACTATCACTTGCCCAATGACTGTAATATATACGAAAAGCGACAATTACAGGAATGGGCCACGGCACCTTACGATAAATTTCCGCTTGGTCCATGAAAATATTTTAAATACACCTCCCTAAACATATAAAAAGAGAAATATCGACAACAAAGAAACATGATAACAAAATATGATAATCTATTACAAAAAATTACCACAGGTAGTGATGGCGCTGCTAGTAGAAACATCCACTTTGGGTCTCAAGGAAATGCAAATCCCCCTCAACCGAAACCTTATCCAACACCCACTCTCCTCCTCATCCTTCCTCTTATTCTTCTTTGTCTTCCCCTTCTCCTTCCCAACATTCCCCCACCCCTCCACCTGAACCGCATCGGGACCCAATCCCATCTTCAAGAATCCAAGCTTCTGAAATCACATTACTTGGCAAACCCCAGATCTCTTCCACTCCTATCACGACATTGAAAATGAACACCCTTTCTCCTTCGCGCCCTAAGCAAGATTATTCTCCTTAGAAGCCTGCTTTCAAGCCGAAGCAGAAGCCGATGCTTTATCGGGAATCCACCGCGAAAGATCTTGTTGGAAAGCGATTCGTAGTCTTGGATCAGCAGAAACAAGCTTAGAACCCTAAAACCGAATCTTGGAATCCAAATGAACAGCCCGCCGGCCTGGAAGACGCCGAAACGGCAACAAGAGGGCGCCCGGAAGGGAAGCGAGAGCGACCATCGGAGAGCGCGGAAAGGCAGGAAGGATGCGGAGGGGAGGGGAGGGAGCCTCTCTTTTGTCTTTTTTTTTTTTTTTTTTTCTTTCCTTTTCAGTGGAAAATCAAGATGGAGAGAAACTAGGCGAGCAAGCAGCAATGAAGAACAGTGTTTTCATCAAAATGGGTGGCGGGCACAACGGGCAGGGCAGCGAAAATGCGGGCACAACGGGCAGGGCAGCGAAAATGCGGGCACATCGGGCAGGGCAGCGAAAATGGCCCAGGAAGGTCCGAATGTAGGGCTAGGCCTAGGTGCTTGCTGCAAGCATTTTATATAGGGCCTATGTCATTAGAATATTTTAAATTATAAAATATTTTAAATGTATGAATTTTAATAATTTTAAATTTTGTGAGACAAAATAGAATTTAAAATAAAATAAAATAAATATAGTGTAAATTATTCTAATTTATTTTTTAGGTAAACCAAATTCGTGTAATTTTGAGCAAGAATATTTTACATCATGAGCAAGCTTGTTTGATCACTACTGACCACTGTAGGCCAGCTCAACAAACCTCAAGCCACCACTGCCACCCACCAGCAACCCCTTCTGGCCACTTGTGCCCCACCATCATCATCCTCCAACCACCACTACCACCAGCACAAGCCACGACAGTCGCCACCTTTTGGGCATCACCGCAGCCAATAGTCTACCACCACCACTACTGGCACTGGACACCATCGTCGTCGCCGCCGCCGCCGTCAACTGCCAACAAACGTCATTTTAATTCTTTACATTATATTCATTTTACTTCAAACCAAAACAAAAAAAAAAATCATTCACCAAAATATACGTTACACTCATCCAAAGAGGCCTCTTACTTTTTAAAATTCTTTAATATGGAGTCGAATGACCCTCTTTCCATTTTAGGTTTTCCTCCGCTCCTCTTAAACCCCCATTCTCCCAAATCTTGTAACGCTAGATTAGATGCTTCTCCCTCTATGCTTAACTAGAAGTCCCTTCTAGCTTCTCGGAATACTTCTACGGTGGATTTTCCCCTTACCTATGTTATTTCTTTGGATCATGTATTTCATTTCTCGTTGGAACATATTGCCAAGGGAGTGAAGGAATGGAATCTTTTATTGGTGGGTTTTTTTATTGGAAAAAGGCCTTACTAATGGCCACAAATCTACTAAGTTTTATCTAATATAATTTGCTTTAAGTGCAGAAAATCAGGTTTCCTTCAAGCTGACTGCCCCAACCTGAAGACTCACTTGAATAAGGAGAATGGTGAAGAGAAGCCAAAGTATAAGAGGGGCAAGCATAAGACATAAAAAAGCTTTTTGGGCTGACTCTACTTCAGAATTGTCAGAAGAAGAAGCAGAGAAGGCGGTAACAAACTTGTGTCTAATGGTTAATGATAATCTTGATCAACCAGATCAAAGTAATATATGTCAACTCTCTTGTGATGAATTGCTTATAATTTTTGTAAAATTTCATGATTCGTATAAGAAGCTTAATAAAATATATGCTAGTTTTAATACTGGATTTTCTACTTTGCAAAAAAAGCTTATTAGTTTAATTATCAAGCACTCTACTTTAGATAGCGATCATATGACTTTATTAGATGAGTTTGATGCATTAAATATAAAGCATATTAATCTATCTAATGCACACAATTCTTTAAAAGCATCTTGAGCTAGAAAATGCATTTAAGGATCTAGAAGAACTTGCATGTCAATTAGATATCAGTGAGCGTGCACTAAAACTGAAAGTGGTAAGCTATGAAAATGTAAATGAATATTTAAGAGTATAAATTACTGCAGTTAAGAATAATAAACCACCACTTCTCAATGGTAAAATCTCTCAACGTAGCTTGCATCACATAAATCTTGGAAGAGGCACCATCACCCACATAGGTTAGTAAACCCATTCCCTTGTGTTAGGTGTTACTATTGTGGCATGTTATGGCACATAGCCCGCACTTGCACTATCCATTATAGGATACATCTAGTGTAGAGGCCTACATTGTATTCATCATAGCATAATATGCATACATCTCATTCATTCAAGCATAAGGTGGAACTCAAACTCACTTAGGTTCCCAAATATAACCATTGAATGATATTATATGGGTGCTCTCACAAAAGACCTAGTGAGAGTATGTGACTGATTATATGAAGGGTGATCAAGGCATATGACTGATAATATGAAGCAGTTCATCACATTGTAGGCCATGTTGGGAGGCAAAGTGACATTAGGAGACAACACCACTAAGAAAGTAGCAGGTTTAGGTACAATTGGAAACTCTAAACACTTTATGATTAAAAATATTATGTTAATTGATGATAAAATATAACTTATTAAGTATTAGTCAAATATGCGATAAAGGATTTGATATAAAATTTCTTTCTAACAAATATATGATTAGCTTGGATGATAAACTTGTGTTAGAAGGAAAATGGATGAACAATATTTACATATTAGACTTGAATTGCATTGAATATTCAAATTCCTTGTATTTAAAAATAATAATTGATGAATTTTGGTTATGGCATAGAAGACTGCACCATGCTAGCATAAAAATACTTAGGAATGTCACTCAGAAACACCTAGTTAGAGACATACCTAAGTTAGCCTTCACTAAGGACCACATATACGATACCTGCCAACTTAAAAAATAAGTAAAATTATCATTTCATTCAATTAAGGATATCAACACCTCTAGGGCACTAGAAATCCTTCATATGGATCTATTTAGACCGATTAGTACAACCAGTATAAGAGGAAAGACTTATGGATTTATAATAGTAGATGACTACTCTAGATTCACTTTGGTAAGATTTCTAGTAATAAAAGTGAGTCATTTGAGGAATTTAGAACCTTCCCCACTTGGATTTAAAGTAAATTAGTATGGTAAATTTTAGCAATTTATACTGATCATGGTGGAGAGTTAGAAAATGATATATTTGAATCATTCTATCAAGAGATAAGAATATAATATAATTTCTTTGCCTCTATGACCCCCCAGAATGAAATAGCTGAATGGAAAAATAGAACCTTTATGGAAGCTGTTAGGGCAATGCTAGCTCAGTAATTACTCCTTAGGTATATTTGGGCAGAAGTAGTGAACACTGCTTGCTATGTTTTAAATAGGGTGAATATTAGATACAAGTTGAATAAAACATCATATGAACTCCTTAAGAGTAGAACACCCAATCTTTCTTACTTATATATTTTTCGATGTAACTACTTTATCTTAATCAATGAAAAGTCACCCTTAAAAAAATTGATCCTAAATCTGATAAAGGAGTCTTCCTAGGTTATTCTTCTGTATGTAAAGCCTATATAATCTTCAATAAGAAAATCCTAGTAGTAAAAGAGTCTACCCATGTGGTATTTTGATTAATTAGATTTGAGATGTATTGGAGATGGGTCAGATTTGAGCATCAATTTTTTTGTATTAATAATAATTATCATGCTACTTTAATTCTATGCCAATTTATTTTATGGAATTGAACTCTTAGTGATCACTCCATTGACTGTAAGTGGGATCGTTATTATATGTTACTTGTTGTTTTATATTACCTTTTTAATAGGTTTAGAGTGCATGATCGATTATCCATTTTTTATATATTTATTTTTTTGCTACACTACGTTTATTGCTCGCTGGATTGTTGCACTTATGTTTTAATTGGGCATCAATCTTGGGGTACCAGTTATTGTCCGATCTAGCCATATTGTTTGAAATATAGTCATTATTCTTTATTGAATGTTAGGTCTTATTTTTTGTTGTCTCTTTTTGGGTGTTGTCTTCTTGCTGCCCTTGATTGTTACTAGATATTTTTCTATTTTTTTTTTAGGGTACATTTGTCTTGTAGGTTTTCATTTTTGCTTATGTTGTTTCTCTTCTAAGCAATAGTGAGCTGAAGGTCCCTCGTAAGGACATTATAATCATTTTTTTATTAACGGGTAGGCCCCTTCGAGGGTTTTAACAAAACAAAAAGTGCTTGTGAAAAAAAAAAATCTAACATCTATATTCGTTCTCCTCTTTGCATTATAGTGCTCTGATGATTATGGTTTTCACTATTGAACTCATCACATTCCTGTTGTCTTCATTTTCTAACCTCGTAGCTTTGGTAGATTCTTATCCTTTTTTGCTCATAAGGCTGGTTGTCCTTAGGTTTTTCGCATTCTTTTTTGATGGCATCGAATCCGTCGTCTTCCACTCTAAATCTCTCGGGTAATCCTCCTTCTTCTTTAATTGCTCCTAAGGTTGGCTTCTTTGATGGGAGTAGTAACAATTCTTCACCTAAATCTAGGTTCTTTTATGATGTAGTTTCGGGTACCTCCTCATCAAAAGATCCATAATTTTCTTTTTGGAAAGCTTCCATTAAAGGATTTTTGGCTTTATTGATATCTGACTATGATTTTATGAAATTAGCTTCTCCGTATTAGTTTATTTTAGCTAGGAAGTTCTTGATTCGTTGCACAAACCTTGATGATATTCAATCATTTTTTGATAATTTGAAGCTTTCTTGTGTTTTCTCTATTGGTTTGTTAGAAGCAAGTCATGTGGCTATACAACTTTCAAATGATTTGGATTATAGTCGGGTGTTTGCTAGAAGAACATGTTACATAAACAATTTTCAAATGAGATTGTTGAAGTGGACTCCTTATTTTGACATCAAGGAGGAATCTCCTATTGTCCCAATATGGTTTTCTTTTCTGAATTTAAGTTTGAACTTATTTAACTCTCACATTTTACAGGCTTTGGGTTCAATTTTTGTTAGACCCTTACAATCAGACCGAGCAATAGCCTCAAGATCCAGACCTTTTATAGCATGTATACTTGTGGAATTGGATATTACTAAAGAATATCCAATAGTGGTTTGACTTGTCTCAGAAACTTTTGGTTATCTACAGAACGTTGAGTTTGAAATATTCCTGATTATTGTACGTATTGTAAGGTCCATGGTCATTCGGTCAACGAATGTTTTGTGTTTCATCCACACCTCAAGAAAGGAATTAAGGGAGTGAATCAATCTGACATTGGAGATTCTAAATAAGTTGATGTCCTTGTTCAATTGAATCCTGACCTTACGATTGTGGGAGATGCACTGAAACTATACCTTCGAATAATTCTATTCGGGATTTTAG